CCACAGCACTCTACCAAGGGCGACATAGTGAGACTGTCTCAAAGAAAAAAAAAAGATGATTTGACCTGATCCTCTTCTCTCCACTACTGCCCCAACTGTCATCAGTCCTCTGATGACTGCAGCAGCCTCCTCTCTCAGGGCCTGCTTCTTCCCTCACCACTTACCCAGCTCACAACTCAAGGGGTTTTGTCATAGCCCAAGCAGGGCACAACCACCCATGTTCACATGGTTTTCTCCAAACTCTTATCTCAGTGAAAAAGCCAATGTTCTCACTGTGGCCCGCGAGGTCCTACAATGCCTGTCACTTGTCATCTCTGTTCTCACCTGCTACCACTCCCCCCCTACTCTGTTTTAACCACTGATCTCCTCACTGTTCCTCACATATACCAAGTACCTTCCTGCCTCAGGGCCTTTGCACGGGCTGGGATTCTTCCTTCAGATGTACCCATGACTTACTCTCACCTCCTGCAGGTCTCTGCTACCAAGGCAGTGAGGCCTTCCTCATCCATCATATTGAACATTTCAACAGGTATCCCTCATCCCCACTCTGCTCATCAGTTTCCTTATGGTACCTGGCACCTTTTAACATGTTACATGGCTCAATCTATTTTTTTTCCATTTGCTTTCACTAGAACATCAGCTTCAAAAAGTCAGACACTGGTAGAATTTTATTCATAAATGTTTTCCCAGTACAACAGGTGCTCAGTAAATCTGTGTTGAATGGATGGCTCATAAGTGAAACAATGAATGAACACTACCGTAGAAATGCATGTTTGCAGAGAGATGAGAGGAGCAAAAGGTGAACAACAAACACAAAACCCAAAGGGTGGGATGTGGGTGGGAGGAGGACAGAGGTAGGGAGAAGCTGCCCGATGTGGGGGGAAAGCTGAGAGGGGAGGGGAGAGAGAGGCAAGGAGTAACTGAAGAGGCAGAAGAGGTCAACCGAAGTGGGAGATACAGAGAAGGACACACGAGGGCCCCTGCCTGGCCTCCCACCCCCTGCTGCTGTTTACCATCGGGAGCCCCGTCGCACACTACTAGGTCCGCAGGGCAGCCCTCAAAATGCTGGATGATCTCCTTGGCAGTGGATAGCTATGGAGAGAGGGAGGATGAATGGCCCCAGGGCCTCCCTCTGCTGCCCTCGAACCCCACCTGCTGATGGCCTTGGCCCACAACCCCTGGGTC